CCAGGCTTTCTCTCTCCAGACAGCTACCGAATTTACATCCAGAATCAGTTATTTTATCGTAGCAGTCATCTTTGTTGGAATGTTGGAATTAAAAGGTCGATATGCCTAAAGATGGTCCAGGGTTGTAGTCATGGTCATGGCATGAGATCATCTCTGTCATTGATGTCAATGCTGTTACACATTATGGAGGGCTTCAGAGTGTCTTTGAAGTATTTTCTTTGTCCTCCCCTTGGATGCTGCCCATTTAATTGTTGAGGAAACAGGACCTTGCAGGTTATATGCTTTTCAGCTAGTGCATGCAGTGTTCAGTTCATCAAATTTGATTTTGCAGAAGTTTAGTTTGAATGCTTGTGGATCTGGCTTCAAACATTAGTGTTTATTCAACTGTCCTCCTATTACAACCAGTGGATACAGTGAAAACATTGCTGATGGTATTTCTCCAGCACTGTTATATGTTACTTATACACCATCCAACAAGGTCTCAATACAGTACAGGACTGGTTAAACAGCTGTACAGAGCACAAGAAGTTTTCTATTGAAATTGTCTGCACACAAAATACTTTGTTGGAAGTGTGTCTTTCTTAGCTGCTGTGTACCTTAACTTCCAGTCCCTGCTACATGTTGCCACTATTAACATATCCTTGACCAGTAACTTGCACCTGAAAATATGTTTGGCACCCATCCTGAAACTGCTCACTTAGAAAATGTAGGCAGCTACAATTAACTCAAGTATATTTGCTTAAGTGTGATAATAATGATAATTTATTAATGGAATTGTATTTTCAGCTTTGAAAGTTGTTGCAGACTTTCTATGTACAAAAATCTGTGACGGTAAGAGTACTTCTTATTAGCTAGGTAAATCAGTGCATTGAAAGAAACTTTAATTTTTTTGTATCAGCATTCATGTCTATATATTACAATAATTTGGTTTATGTTGCCTTTGGGTGAATCTCAGCAATTGATGGTAGTAATTTAGTTTACTATCTTATCATATAAATTTATAAGACATTTCATCCTCACTTCCAGGCAGTTGATGAAGCAAGTTTTTTTTTGGCAGAGTAAACTTATTTTCAATTGAGTCAATCACAAATTATAAAGTATCTACTCATACAGCTCTTGTTTGATGACCTGGAACAATGACTTTCACAGGGCAGACATTGCAATTAATCTGACTGGACTTCTCCAGATGTTTCATAATTTTGTATATTTCTCTAGGGCTGCAGAAAATTTCCCCATTACTAGCACTGTAGGTGATTGTGTTGTGAGCAATTTGAACAAATCTCAGTTTAAGTACACACAGTAACCTTAACAGCTCAATGTAATACGTTGGTTCCAGGAGGGATTAAAGTGTGATGGCAGGATTCCCAATAGGAACTGTAATGATGGATGGTAGCTTGCTGTAAGTAAATGACAGAGATTTGAAATGAAAAATACAAATTTTATGGGTCATGTTTACACGTTAAAGCAATCCGACATGTTTTGCCTTTGGGCAAATCACAACAATAGATGGTGGTAATTGAGTTTATTATTGTAAAAATTTAAAATACATTATCATTCCCACTTTCAGGCTCTTAGTTATAGCAACATTTCTGCAATAAGGCTATTGGAATTTATGCTGCATTATATGCTACAATTGGTGATATGCAATTTAGCATATTCATCATACAACAAGAAATATAATTCCCATGAACTACAGCAACAGACAAGTATAGCCTATAGTAATTATATTACAAAATTGCCTCGTAGTTCAAAAATAGACAGGATTCAAAGGTGTCATGAGGGTAATGTGTTTAAGAGAAGACAACTTGAACAACTTGAAGCTTCGCTTGATAGCACTTATCCCTCAATTGAACACTTGTGCCCCGTTTAACTTCTTACCGGTTTCTTTTCAGTCAGTGTAAACAGTAGCAGCTTCATTGAATCATAGAATCCCTACAGTGTGAAAGCGAGCCATTAGGCCTATCGAATTCAAACCAACCCTCCAAAGGGCATTCCGCCCAAACCCAGTCTCTTACCCTATCCCTGTAACCCCACATTTACCATGGTTAATCCACCAAGCCTGCACATTCCTGAATATATGGACAATTTAGCACAGTCAATCACTTAACCTGCACATCTTTGGACTGTGGGAGGAAACTGGATCACCCAGAGGAAACCCACGCAGACACGGGGAGAATATGCAAACTCCACACAGACAATCACCCAGGTCTGGAAATGAACCTGGGTCCCTGGCACTGTGAGGCAGCAATGCTAACCAATGACCCACCGTGTCGTCCAAATGATACTTTTGTTGCGAAGTTGGGTAGAGTACTTATGGATTTGGAGGCAGGAAGTTAGAATTTGCTGCTTGTAAATGCTAGGGGGAAAAGCATTGCATAGTCTCTTTTAAAAGATGATGTCCTTTTTCTGTGCTTAGAAATTTAAAATGAATGTCTGTGAGCAGCAGCTTGAAAGTTTGCAAGCTCACAGAGAGCGCCCAAATTGAAAAATTTGTATCAAAAGGCCACAAAATTAGCAGGCCAAGTAGCAGTTTTACTAAGGCAACAAGTTTGGAATTTAACCAATCAGTTTGAATCAGGTGCTTAATACCAAAGACCAATTAAAATCAAATCTGATGGTTTTGACAAAATAGAACCAAATATATTGTAAGAAATATTGATATGTCATCAAAGGTATAAAGGAAGGGGGCAGTTGGACAAAACCCCAGGGAGCTAACTGCCATCTGCCAAAGCTAAAAACCCTCAGCTCTCAAGAGAGAATTGCTGGCTCTCACAGCGTCCTCAATGTTTTAGAGAAACTCAAAAGTACCCACGGCACAACTAGTTAATATTCCTGACAGAAGAATCGACGGAGAAGGCACAGAAGATTCCGGAAGACACGTAACCTGGCTAAAATTTTAAGATACTACTTTTTTTTATATAAGTGAGATTTATGTTTATTGTAACAGCATGCCATTAGAATCTTGCTTTATTCCAGAATAGTTGGTAGTTAGAAGGGATTTATTCAGTTTGTTAATAGTTTAGTTAATTTGTCGGTGTTAGAATTAGATAAATACATTGTTACTTGTTGATTTTAAACTGAGTGTCAGGCATTTATTTTATTTAGCCACTGACAGGCAGATTACACCATTTTTCACATTCCTTTTACAGATTATAGGGTGAGGTGCTCCTCTTTGGATGTTTCGGTTTTAGTTCTCAGAGGGGGGTCAAACTCCACTTTATAACAGTTTTAATCTGGCAAACTATACATTTTTAAATTATGAAACTGAGAGCTGACCATTATTATCAGGTGATAAGGGGTGATTGGCTTCTGTTTTTTTAACTCCCTCTCCATCAATCACTTATTTTTATTGCCTTTTAGGACGCATCTATAGCACTTCATTTAAAATGTAATTAACTAGATTAAAATGAAGGAGCTAAATAACAAGGCTTTCTTATGCAAAAGAAAGAGGAATTTTATTGCCTCCTAGCCTGAGAAAAATAATAAGAACATATAATTAAATACACATAAGCACAGGCCAATAAGCTTTAAAAGGATGTGTGTACAGACAGGAAATAAAACCAGCTGCAAATAAAAGTTCTTAGTGCTGCAAAAATGACATGAATGTGAAAATTGCTGTTTATTGTCTTCTTTATTCCACACTGCCAAAGTTCCCAGATCATGAGTTCTCAATTAATGGCTTATTGATTGGAACCAGGTTGACCTCATTAACAAAGAGTTCATTGATTGGGGTTGTTAACCTTGGCCAATCAGGAAAGCCCTGGCTGACTAATAGAACCAGGAGATTAGAATCTCCTCAGTTTAGGTGATTAACTCTGAGCTTGCTGGCCACCGCCAGTGTATTATACAGAAGTAAATAAAGGGTGACTTGGTGCGGGATACGGCCTCCGTGCAGTTACTTCATGGTGGTTGTCCCAAGTTACTTTTTCATTGATCACTGACTTTTGATGAGAGAGTGAGACAGAGAGAAAAAGTATCTTCTAGTTTAAAAATTTACTTAATTTTGTCTCTCCTTTTTTGCCCCAAGCAGCTGTTGATATAGGTCCACTGGTATATTCCTGAATCTTGCACACTCTTTTTCCAAGCTGGGAAACTGACATTCATCTCCCAGTATGTGAAATTATCATACACATGTGAATTAAGTAGGACGCAAATTCCAGGATGCTGATTTGGCTGTTTGGTTTCACCGGCTTTTGGTGAACTGATAATTTCAGAGCTGTGCAGTTTTTGGATATCTAACACTGATTTCATAAAGTTTTCCTTAATCTGTGGTTCAATGATTGTAACAGCCATTTAGGTTGTATTGTCCTTATTAGGAGGTACTTTAGTCCATGAAGGTCTCAGCTATAAAAGTCAGATTAAGACTTGATAGTCCATTTTACTATGATCATAACAATCACATAGTATAACTTTTTAAACATTAATTACCATTATATTTTTACAAAAATAATTTATGTTCCATCTTTTTCCTTAAGGTCCTCTCCCACCATATTTCATAGGTGTCTATCAACTTACTTTGTAATTGGGAAAAATGTTTCATCTACTGACTGTTGATGGCGATTTTGTTCCCCTCACAAATAACTTGCCTTTTGTAGGGATCTTCAAACATTTAGTACATAGCTCTTTTTTTTTCTAATCAGTTTGTTCAGAGATGTAATTGCACACCTTTGGAACAAGTGGGACTTGAACCTAGGCCTCCTGGCTCAGTGATAGGGACACTATCACTGCACCACAAGAACCCCTACATGAAATCGCTCTTTGACATAGTTGCGAATGGAAACTCATGATGCAATGATTTAGTAGTGAGCTATCTTGCCGCCGTGTTTCAGAATATGTCCACATTATTAGGCTACTGTGTGGTATGTGTACAGTTATTTATTAATTCACTAATATCATGAGAACAACTAATATTTGTTTATTGTTCTTTAAAAATATTGAGCATAACAGTTCAAGAAATTGTAAATGTTTAAAATTTTATTGCTGATGTTTTTCTCCTACAGCACTTCAGAGAACATCTTGATATCCTGAATGCAAAGGGAATTGGGATGCTAGGTTTCGCTTTAACTGAAGCTTTCACCCTTCTGAAGCAGGTACTGGCATTCCATGAGATCGTTTCTCACCTTTCTCGTAAATTTGTGTGTTTAACTTTAAATAGTATAACCAATAATTAATGGCAAATAACTTCCAGGTGACTGAAATTACATAAAACTATTTTGAAAATGCGCAAATAGCATAAATAATTAAACAGATCTTATAATATTTAGTTTTACTTTGTTTACAGTTTACATAATAAAGTGTTTTGAGGTATGTTTTTGCTCTTCAGCAGTGCAATGTAATATAATGACATTTGCTTACAATGGATTGATAGCACATTAGGTCCAATATAGATCAAGCCATCAATTTGCTTTCAGCCCACTTTATAAGTGCTGCTGTTGGTGATTTGTCACTTTCTTTGTACCCAACTGACTCAACAGAAACAATAGACATCAGCTTTGTATAACATAAAGTTAAATATAGGTATATTTAATTACATTTATACATGATTATTTAAAATAACTTTGCCACTTATGCACCATTAATTCCTCACGTCACATTAAACAGATCCAACCATCCCTTTACAAAATGTCTTCCATTCTTTAAAACGTACTTATTTTATGTTCGTCATTACAATTTTCTCTCACTTATTCACAGTTCTCTGGTCTCCATCGCACAGCACACTGCCAAATAATTTGCCAGGCTATGACTATCACTGATAAGAAACCACTGCCTCTTGACATTCAATTGTGTTGCCATGACTGAATCCCCCACTATCAGCATCCTAGGGGTTACCATTGACCAGAGACTCCACTGGACCTGCCACGTAAACATAGTGGCTAAAAGAGCAGGTCAGAGGCTAGGAATACTAGTAACTCACTTCCTGACTCCCCAAGACCTGTTCATCATCCACAAAGCACAAATCAGGACTGTGATGGAATATTCCCCACATGACTGGATGGATGCAGCTCCGATAACACTCAAGCTTGACACCATCCAGGTCAAAGCAGCCCGCTTGATTTGCACCACATCCACAAACATCCACTCTTTCCATCACTGATGCTCAGTAGCAGCAGTGTGTACTATCTACAAGATATACCACAGAAATTCACCAAAGATCTTCAGACTGCACCTTCCAAACCAATGACCACTTCCATTTAGAAGGACAAGGGCAGCAGATACATAAGAAGACCACCTCCTGCAAGTTCCCTGCCAAACCACTCACCATCCTCACATGGAAATATATATCACCATTCCTTCACTGTCGTTGGGTCAAAATCATGGAATTCCCTCTGGGATGGCATTGTGGGTCAACCCTCAGCAGGTGGACTGCAGTGGTTCAAGAAGGCAGTTCACTACCACCTTCAATGGCAACTAGGAATGGACAATAAATGCTGGCCTGCCATTGACAGAAATGAATTAAAGAAATTTAATGCAATTGTTGTCAGGAGACTGGGAATTGACCTACATGGTATGTTAAGTATGGTCACATACCAGCTGACTGTTGAGAGAGTGACATTATTTTCAGTTGTGGTACATCATAGATGTGACGCGTGATGTCTGCAAAGTGATGTAGTCAGTGCCACTCTACACCATAAGGAAGCCTGTTGTCCTCACAGAGCCACATGTTCTCTCTGCCTGCTGCTCTTTGATGAGAGAGAATGAAATGTATTCAACTCTTTTTACACATTTAGTCTTAGTGAACTCCCTTATGCAGCAGTGGGTAGCAAACTGGGAAATTTTATAGATATCACCTGCTATAGTCTGGAAGGAGTCTGGTGCATTTATGTCCTTGACTGCAGTCGCCTACTTATCAGCTGGCAATGTTGTCTTCACCATGCTCTGAGACTGTAACTTATGGCTATAATAATGACAGATTTTGGTGAGCTACTCCTTAGCAAGCAGTAACTAGCAGGGCACAGGAAGTGCTACAAGTACAGCGTGAAAGCCTCCTTAAATAAATACAGCATACCCAAAAATACATGGGAATCACTTGCCCCAGAACATACAAAATGGAGAAGAAGCATCCATGAACCACTTCAAGTATCACCGAACGTGTGCAGATAAAATGCACAGGATCCAGACTGTGGCACCCACCTCCTTAAACACCAACTGCCCCAGTTGCTGGCCTGCCTGTCTTGGAGTGTACTATAGAATGTACACACATTTTGTTGGGAGCACCATAGCATAATGTGGGAAATTTCATCAATATAAAAGGCTTCCATTCAGTCAATATACAGCCATCTATATTCATCAGAACTACATCTTAACTGCTTGGATTAGTCTAGGGTGACATTGCAGTACATTCCAGACAGTGTGCCACATAATTCTTGCACATTGAGCAAGAGGACCATCACCTTTACAATAGAGCTGTGCAGTCTGCCGTGCAACAAACCACCCAGGACTTAATTGACACCTGCTCCCAATAGATGTGAGTTGAGTGAGGTCATCATTCATTGACTGTAAATTTGTTTTCATTTGAAAGGCAAGCAGACATGTTCATTCATCGAAGCATATGTATTTTAAAAATTTTGATATTGGCTTTTCCTGTAATAACATTATCAACTGTTTAACACTGGAAAGATGTTGTATGATGCTGGCCATTAGGGAAAGAATAGCGCTAAGGATGGGTAGCCTCAGTAGCTTCATTCTTATAGCTACAATTTTGATAACAGTCGATGAAATAGGTGATAATATTGACATAAATTTTACAAATATGATCTATTTTCAATGACACGTGCCACCTATGTGTCCTCGGAAGCGTTACTTTTGCATTTCCCTCCCACTATGTGTACTGTGAAGGGCTAATCCTGGCTAAGAAGCAAAGCCAGAAAGGAGGTATGGTACAAACATGATGAGATGAACAGCGAAGAACTATATGAGATAACTCACTAGAGCTCACAGAGAAAAACTCTGCTTGAAACTCCCCAAAATTGACACTTTGCCAATTTTTGATAAAATTTAGCCCATTATTTTTGTTTTCGTTTTAACAGCGTCAATTCTCATGTCCCATGCTATTGATTTACACTAATGTTTGTTTGTTAACTTTGCAATGTTTATTTGGTTGTACAATTTCTTCCATATTTCACATTTTTGTACTTGGAGTTCACTTTATTTTGACATGTCACACTTACGCTGCATCAACTTGAGAGACTACAATCGCCACAAATAATATGCGACTTTTTATTCAAATGCTGTTGACAGGGAGCTAGAGAGTTCTGCACAAAAAGGTAGCATCTGTATTTTTGGGAAGCTATTGAACACAGCATAGCAGAGCGACTGAATGTTATAATTTGTACTGGTTAAGTAGCACATTGGCTGTATTAAAGAGTCTAAAGGATTGTGATTGCAAACATCTCTTGATTTGCTATTTATTTACTGTCTGACTACTAAAATCCAATCTCAAAGCTTAAAATGTGATTTTTTAATTGAGATTCTCTCAGTCATGTGGTTAAACCTTGTGTCAAGAACTGTGCAGACACAGGAGATTAGTGTGAAGAATATTTACATTGTTTTTCTGGGGTTTCCATGGTTCTCCCATTGAAATTAGACTAACTGATTGGGAGAACCTTGGCGAACTTGCTGCCCTCCATCCCCCACCATCTTGTTACTGTTCGAGAAATAATTTCAATTAGCAATATCCCTCAACAGTAGCGTGAAGAAATTAAATGTATATTTTTATTTTTGCTCTCAAATTATATCCTTTGAATGGTGTGAAATATGTTATAATAACTATTTCATCAAATATCCAGTGCTTAATATATTAAAGCTTCATCAAAATGTGAGTGCCTACTAAGTAGAAAATCCTTTGCTGTTTGCTGCAGCCGTGATAAGGGGTAGAAGACTGCAAAATAGTTGATAACAGGGTAATTTGGACTAACATGAGATAAATTTGCTAGTCAATATAGTGTGGAGCTGGAGGAAAACAACAGGTCAGGCAGCATCAGAAGAGCAGGAGAGTCGATGTTTCGGGTCGGGACCCTTCATCATGACTGGGGAGGGGGAAGGGAGCTGGGAAATAAATAGAGCAAGGAGGGGTGGGGCTAGGGAAAGATAGGTGGGATGGTGATAGGTGGATGTAGGTGGGGGGTAGTGGGAATTGGTCAGTAGGAAGGGTGGGGCAGATAGGTGGGAGAGAAGATGGAGAGGGAGTATCAGGTCAAGGAGGCAGGAATGAGAGGGAGGCTTGGACATGGGATGAGGCTGGGGGTGGGGAGATTTTAAAACTGGTAAATTCCATGTTCAGGCCATCAGGCTGTAGGTTCCCAACGTGGAATATGAGGTGCTGTTCCTCCAGTTTGCATGTGGTGTCGTTGTGGCTCTAGAGGAGGCCCAGGGTAGACATGTCACCAAGGACGTGGATGGGGGAGTTAAAATGGTTGGCAACTGGAAGGTATTGTTGATTACAGTGAACAGAGTGCAGATGCTCTGCAAATCGGCCACTGAGTCTGCGCTTGGTTTCACCGATGTAGAGGAGAGCAGTGGATACAGTAGACCAGGTTGGAGGATGTACAGATGACACCCTGTCGGATATAGAAAGTTTGTCTCGTGCCTTGGATGGAGGTGAGAAGGCGGATGTAGCACTTCCTGCGGTTACAGGGAAATGTGCCGGGTGTGGTGGGGTTGGTGGGGAGTGTGGAGTGTAGAGTGAACGAGGGACGCCACATGCAAACTGGAGGAACAACACCTCATATTCCGCCCGGGAGCCTACAACCCAATGGCCTGAACGTAGATTTCACCAGTTTCAAAATCTCTCCACCCCCGGCCTCATCCTATGTCCAACCCTCCCTCTCAAACTCCCACCCTGACCTGACACAACCTGTCCATCTTCTTCCTTGCCTATCCACCCCACCCTTCCTACTGACCAATTCCCACTGCCCCTACCTGCATCCACCTATTATCATCCCACCTACCTTCCCCCAGCCCCATCCCTCCTCTCTCTATTTAATTTCCAGCTCTCTTCCCCCTCCCCAGGCCTGATGAAGGGTTCCGACCGGAAACATTGACTTTCCTGCTCCTCTGATGCTGCCTGACCTGCTACGTTCCTTTAGCTACACACTGTATTGATGCTGACTCCAGCATCTGCAGTTCTTGCTATCTCCAGACAAATTTGGTAGTTGATTTAGGTAAGCAATAGTATGCCTCTGTCAATATATGTACTAATTCAAACTTATATAATCAACTCACAAACGTTCAAACTTGAATCAGTGGTATTTCTGATGGTGTAAGGCATCAACTATCCATTAATTATTCCAGAAAAGAAAATAGGACATGTGGGCTGTCATTTCCAATGCCCTACAATAACGGCAATTATTCTTTGGCAAATGAATTCAATCTCACCAGTGATTAAGTCCTTTTTGAAAAGTTTTTTCTAAAGAAATTTGAATCTTTTTTGATGTTTGAATGACTAACAATCAAAATAAAGACTATAAATGTCAGAATGCATTGAAAGTTTCATGCCAAATGACAAATCATTAGAAGCTAATTGTAGTTCATCACAGAATGCTTGTCATTGGCATTTATAGTGTAAATAGGTTCCATACCCCCTGGGTTAACAAATATAATGAGCATTCTATACATATGTTGGCAGAGATTGCAAATGATGTTACTTCCATCAATTGAATTTTATTTCTAATATTTTCAAAAATAAATTGCCATTTGAACAGTATTTAAGTACCCCCCAGAATCAATAGAGGATTAATGTTATTGCAAAGTATTAAAATCACATGAGCTTGTTCTAAATTCCTTTCCCAAAAGCACATTTTAAAACCTTACATGGAATACTGTGGTACTGTGTTACTGCCATCTGGAGGAAAATAAGAAAAAATACACACTAATTCAACCAATTGTCCAGTTGATCAGAATACAGTAAGTTAACATCAGAGAAACTTTGTTTAATAAATGACAAGCCAGTCTAGTGGTAATGTACAGTAAGGTCTGGAAAATTGATTACCATAATATTTATTGCATAATATCATGTTTTGCTACAAAACACTAAATACTTGTAACAGTACAGCAATATTGCTCATACGGTAGTCTAGCAATTATTCAACTATTAAGCCAGGCCTTATGAAATCAAATCAACCTTCGTACATAATGAAAAGATATCCTGTGAATCTGGTGATCTTGAAAGCCGCTGACAGGTGGGACGGTTCCAAGTTCCATCCCAGGTTGGTGTTGAGTTTATTGTTGCAAGTTTGGGTGACAAAGGGTCTGAATTTTCCTCAGGTGGATAGGGAAGTGAGCAAATGAGCAGTAGTCCTGGTTGCCATTCAATATTATTCCGTAATCTAAGCAAAATATTCCTTACTTAACTGACTGAGGGCTGCTGCAACAAAACTCATAAAGCTTGGCACCATCTAGGACAAAGCAGCCCCCTTGATTGACGTCATGTCCAGAAAAGTTCGCTACCTCGACCACTGATGCTCAGTAACAGCAATGTGTGCATCTTCAAGATGCACTGCAGAAATTCTCCAAGGGCCCTTAGATAGCACCTTCCAGACCCACAAGTACTTCCACCTCGAAGGACAAGGGCGGCAGACAGAGTCAATAAATGTGGAGCTGGAAAAGCATAGCAGGTCAGATTGCATCCAAGGAGCAGGAAAATCAATGTTTTGGGCCGTATCCTTTGTCAGGACTTGACAGTCCAGTTGAAGGGTTTCAGCCCGAAATGTTGACTTTCCTGCACCTTGGATGCTGTCTGACCTGCTGTGCTTTTCCAGCTCCACAGTCATTGACTCTAGCTTCCAGCATCTGCAGTCCTTATTATCTTCAAAAACAGCAGATACATGGGAACACCATCACCTGCAAGTTTCCCTGCAGGCCTTGCACCATCCTGACTTGGAAATATATCCCAGTTGCTTCAGTTTTGCTGGATGAAAATCCTGGATCTTCTTCCCTAATAGCATTGTGGGTCTAGATACAGCACATGGAACTATAGTAGGTCAAGAAGGCAGCGTACCACCACCTTCTCAAGGGCAACTAGGGACAGATAATAATTGCTGATTCAGCCAGTGATGCCCACATCCCAAGAATGAGTTGAAAAAAAAATGACGAATGGCAACAAGTGAGAAAAAAATTTAGGCTTTACTGTTTTTCAATTTACCACTTTAGCAGAAAAGTAATGCATTGTGACTCCTTTGCTGGAATGCTTGTGTTGTTAGAAAAGATCGTATCCTAACACAATGAAGCCTTCCATATTTTAAACTGAATTCTGAAAGGCTAATGGCAGGAAATGATTACTCTGCCTTAAGGGACCCTTAGATTTTCTTCATTAATTACCTCACAGCTATGTCAACTTTAACGTTTGATAACAATGGCAGATCAATAGTTACAATGCTCATAGGGAAACTGAGTTTACAAGATAAGACTTTCTTGTGAATGAAAATTGATTTTTAAAAAGTGCGTTTTATCCCTTTAAAAATAAACAGTTCCAAATGAAACAAAGTAAAAGAGATCCTATGACATATCCCAACATAAGCGGTGGACGCAAAAGGGCCTTTCATCTGGGTTCTTTGTTTTCCCCTTTTATCAGTGGAAGAGCAATGCAACCTGTTCAAATGATTTAGCTCATATAAATGAAAGAAAAGCACAAGAAGGATGTGATAAGTGAAGAAAAGTTTGTGCAGAAGGTGGAGCACCTTAAATTTTGATGCTGTCCCTTTGTGTAAAAAATTAGTTATTTTAACAGTACTCTCACTTCCTGTATTCTCCTTTGTCCAGTTTAACGCCACTGGCCATGGAAGCACTTGCAGCCAAGCTATAATGCTGGTTACTGATGGGGCTGTGGATACTTATGATACCATATTTGCAAAATACAACTGGCCAGATCAAAAAGTAAGTTGCAATGTTTTACGTCAGATTTTAGGTTTCTGTAATTATCACTCAATTGCAAATATTGACAGAAGAAGTTCTTCTTTACATACAACAATGTGTAATTTAGCTTCTTTGTTCATGTAGCATCAACACATTTAAGAAAACAGCAATGTCATGCAGAAAAAAATGTATTAATGATGCTTTGAATATGTTTTGTTCATATTGAAATCATAATCAAAATTCTCTCTTTCTATTCGTGAAGTCACATGCCAATCATAATGTTGGTTGTCAATCAAATGATATGTGTGTTGTTGATCTTCTTGTTGCATTATGGTCTCAGAAATGTTTAACTTTGCCTGGTCGCTGAGGATGTTCCTGTATTGATTTGAGTTTCATACTCCGAAAACTGCTATAAAACTGTTTTGCTCTTGAAAAATATGAATAATTGTAAATCCAACAATTTAATCACTCACAGATAAAGGAAGCAAGGTGATAACAAATTATTTTATAATTTCCACCACCATTTGTTCTTCAGACTGAACCTTGATGACAACACTACTGTGACCTTTGTTCCTATGAATCTTCTGTTCTACCAGCAGCCTTTCTCTGATCCCGGTTAATAATCTCTAGCTAAGAGCTCAGCTTTTATCCCATTCACAACAATAGTTCCCTTCTCTCTCCTGCTCCTTTGCTGTCTCCAAGCAACTCACACATCATGCCAGCCCTTAACTAAGCCCCAAAGAATAACCTATTTTCAAAAGGGATCCTAGTCTACAATATAAGGAAGTTACAGATGACAAATCTCTTCAATTTCTTTGTAGAGACTTTTTGAGGTCATCTTATTCATGTTTCTGAAACTAACAACTTTCAGAAAATGACTACTTTTTTTAGAAATCGCTGACTAGTATAGGAAATGACAGAAGGGAAGTCAATCAATCTTAGATAGAAAGGACTGACAAAAATAGGATAACTATTAGATTCTTGTAATTTATATAC